ACCATATTTGCCTGTTGATGCACATCTCTGTTTCACTTGCTCCTTCTCTCACTCATTACTAGGAAATTATAATAATCTTTGTGATTAATGTAGCGTCTGTCATATCATTGAAACATCTCAAAGAGCTTCACAGGAATTTTACTGTGAAATGTAGTGACTGTGTATTTGCAGGAGAATGCTTCTGCCAATTTATGTACTGCAATGTCCTTGCATTTGATAAAACACCTTATCACGTTGTCATGATGTCTCAAAGCGGTAGCCAATTTGCAATGTCCTGCAGAGAGCCATGAAGTGAAAGACCAATTTTATCTGGGGGATTGTTGGCAAGGATGTCAGGAGATACTTTTCTCCTTGCACATAATTCCATCTTTAAGATCCACTTGAACAATCAATGCATTGCACTGTACTCCCCCAGCACTGCACTGGAGTGTCAGCCTAGACTGTGAGGTCAAAGTCCCGATGTGGAGCCTGAACTCACAAAGCAGGAATCCTGGGGGTCATTTTAGCAGGAAAACAGTGCTTAATATATGCTAATGGCATACTTCTATTCTTCTTAGTAGGTGGGGCAAATATTGGAGTTACTGGGATACGTGTGCAATATTTTAAGCTTGGTGCTGTGTTAATTTACACCAGATGGCAGTGTTCCCCTGGTGTGAAGTGGAATTTTCCTTTTCAGATCGCCGCCATCTTTATTAGTCTTGAAGTGGATGTGTACTTAAGTTTTAGATCCTTGAGTGGCTTTAAAATATTTTGTTCATTTTCAAACTGCTGAAAAGAGTCAAAATCCACACATTCCACAGCCAATAATGCCAATAGTTCTCGCTTTTGATATAGTGCTTTCACTTTCACCTTTTCGCCCCATCTCCGCAACATTGCCTGCCTCCGCCACTACCTCTCTCCTCAGGCTGCCAATAATAATAATAATAATAATAATAATAATAATAATAATAATAATAATAATATAATAATATGGAGTCCTGTAGCTCAGTGGTTAGAGCACTCGCTTTGCAAGTGAGAGACCTGAGTTCAATTCCAGGCAGGGCGAAACCTTGGGCAAGTTTCCTTACTCCACACGCCTAATAATAATCCCTCCAAAACCAAAAACAATAATAAAATTGGTCATTTTCAATCTACGACTGTTTGTGGGACATTGCTGTGCGCAATTGGCTGCCGCGTTCGCCCACAAATATACAGTCAATTCACTTTACAGTCTATTCTGTGAAGCGCTTTGGGACGTCCTCCCGACGTGAAAAGCGCTATATCAAATGCAAGGATTATTATTATTATTATTATATCTCAGGCTGCCAAGACCCATATGCATGCTTTCATCACATCTAGGCTAGCCTATGCCAACTCTTCTGTCCACAATTTGTAGACCATTCAAAACTCTGCAGCTCATGTTCTCTTCCACACCAGGCTCCATGAGTCTATCAGCCCCATCCTCGTCCAAATCCATTGGCTCACAAATTGTGAGATACTAAACCAAGGCTGTCCAGGTGGACACTAAAGATTCCATAACACTATTTGGAAAGAGAGGGGAGTTTCTCTCAGTGGCCTTGCCTACAATCCCAAAGAGGATCGAATTCAAGATTTTCGTCCTCACTTTTAAATCCCACCACCTTGCCCATCCTATCTTTGTGAACTTCTTAAGATGACCTACCAACTTTCCTGCTTCATGTCCCCTGCCTGCCGAACCCACCATACCTAGTCAGGCTTTTAGCCTAACCCCATTCCCTGGAACTGCATCCCAGAGTTTCCTTTGCCTCACCCCTTCCCTCGTCTCTTTCAAGGCCCAACTCAAGACCTTCCTCTTTGACGGCATCTTCAGACATTCCTACCTCCCATTGGCTCTTACCCTTCTCGAATCCAACCCCAGTCTCAGGTGCACACCCTCCACTGTCCCATGCCTTGGAACATGAAACACATCACATCAATTCAATTTGTTGATGTTGTAGTGCTTTTGATGTCAAAAAATCTCAAAGCACTTCACAGCTAATTAATACTAATAATTCTTGCATTTGATATCGCATCTTATCCCATCAACAAGATGTCGCAAAGCGCTTCACATTTTTTTTTACTGTGAAGTGTAGTGAATGTGAATTGTAGGCAAACACAGCAATTTGGGCTCAGCCAATTCAATAACAACTTTTAAGAGAGAAGTAGATGGGTATCTGGGGAGGACAGGATTGCAGGGCTATGGAGAGAAAGCGGGTCAGTGGGATTGAGTTGGATTGCTCTTTTATGAGCTGGTGCAGACGCGATGGGCCGAATGGTCTCTTTCTGTGCTGTCTGATTCTATGATTCTATGATTCAATGTCCTCTAAATAGCCATGAAGTGAATGACCAATTCTCTCTGAAGGATTGTAGGCAAGGCCACTGAGAGAAACTCCCCTCTCTTTTCAAATAATGTTATGGAATCTTTAGTGTCCACCTGGACAGCCTTGGTTTAGTATCTCACTCGAAGGGCAGCACCTAAAACAACGCAGCATTCCTGCAGCTCTGCATTGAAGTATCAGCCTAAATTTCGAGATTAAAGTCTGTATGTGAAGTTTGAACCCACAACCTTCTGACTCAGAGGCAAGTGTGCTTCTGAGCTACCAACTGAGCCAGCCTGACACCGGCTGTCAAATCGCAGAATCATAGAATTATACAGCACAGAAGGAGGCCATTTGGCCCATCGTGTCTGTGCCGGTTCTTTGAAAAGCGCTATCCAAATCAATCCCACCGCCCCGTTCTCTCCCCATATCCCTGCAAACTTGTCCTCCCCAAATAATTATCTGGTGACTGTGCACTTGTAGGCAAACGTAATTGCTAATTCACATAACGCAGAGTGTCCCACAATCAGTTATGAAGTAAATGCCTGATTTATCTGAAGATTGTAGATGAGGAACCTGCATATAACTCCCTTCACTTTATTGTCTTTCCCAAGGCATCCTTAACATCCTCTGAGCAGGCAACTGTTCAAATCTTGACGTGGGTTTTTGACCCAGAGTCAAGACTATTCTCAATTGGGGCAAGTTCAGCAAAAGCACCCGGAACATGAGCTCTCCATGGAAATCCCTGTACAGTACACAGTCACCAGACTTCAATTTAGGTCTGAAAACTTATCAAAGCCAAAGTCTTGTGACTCTGCGACCATGCATGAGTTTCCTTGGAGAAAGCGTTGCTATACATTGCAGCTGCTCATGCTAACAGGCTTGCCAATACATGCAACCTTGTAAGGCGCTGCATTAAAGTAGCCTTTCAGATATAATGTCTAGACAGTGACTGTATTTTACAAAAAAACTATCGCTATTTGGCTGCATTGCCTTCGGGGAGCTGAGGCCATCTGCTTTATTCAATTTAAAAATACATCAATTGGACAAAAGATTCAGTGATGCTTTGTCATTCAGCCCATACAGGCCACTCAATGTGCACAGTAGAAGCATATATATATCCTTGCATTTAGTTTGGCGCCTTTCATGTCAAGAGTTCATCCCAAAGCTTCTCGCAGGTTATACAGTAGAGTGGAGTGACTCTATTTTCTGGGTGAATGCGGCAGCCCAATGGTGCACAGCAATGACCCACAAATAACAATGCAGTGAGTAACCAAATTTACTTGGGGAATGTTGGCCCGGACACTGCCTTCTCTTTAACGTCCATCTGAACAGGCAGACACGACTTTGGTATAACAGCTCATCTGAATGACGGCATCTCCAACAATGCAGCACACCCCCCAGCACCGCCCTGAAGCACCATCTTAAACAATATGAGTTCCATGTCCTGACCTGGGGCTTGAACCCACAACTTTATGACTCAGAGACAAGAGTGTTCCCACTGAGCCAGGGCTGATAGAAAAATAACATTAAAATAAAAATTTGGAAAGAACGAATAACAGAATGCTGAAAAATCATGGTGATAGCATTTAAAGGTTAATTTTTCCATTACCTTTCCTCAGATTTTTTTCCACAATCAAAATCTGATAAACGTTTTTTCCCGTAATCTAATTTTGAAGCAACAGGGCAAAAATTCAACCATCCCCAACGCTCAGTTCTCAGAGTTAAGGAGAAAAATCTCCAGAACATTAAAAATGTTGAAATAACCCAGCAGCTCTCTCACTTATTTTTCTCCAAGAAGTTTGTTACTGCCAATTCTCCAATGGCCAAGGCAATTTCACTTTTAAATTGTACACACGAGTCCGAAGATTGACAAGACAAGGTCATCGCCAAGTTTGAGTTCCAACCGTAAGTGAATGAAAATAAGTGGCCGACAAAATTACTCCAACTGTCTGCCTTCTGCTGATAACCAGTCATTGCTCTGCTTGCCATTAAACCTTCCCTCAAGGGGCACACTGTTTTTTTTCCATTTAAAACATGGTTATCGATTCTCTGAATTGCTACGAAAATCCCAAAAGGTTTTCAAGTGGCAAAGGCAAACACACAGGTCCCTATCTGCCATCCACACTTCCCTTCCAATCCACAGGAGCCCTCCAATAGAGGTCAAGGTTTGTTGGCCATTGACTGCTTTTAATCTGCTTTATATTTCAATATGATTTACATCCTTTGGTGGTTTTGCTAAAGCAGAGCTAAATCCCCACGAGCAGTTGTAAACTTAGAGCTGAGCTGGTCAGAAGTGCCATTTCTTCACTCTAAGGGTTACGTGAATGTGGAATGCACTGCCTCCAAAAATCTGTGCATGTTCAAAAGGGAGAGACACAGATACTTGACAAGTAACTCTATGAAGAAATTTAGGGGTCTAATTAAAATATCTCTGAATGGGATTCCCAATCTCTAACTCCATCCCAACTCGCTCCCTCCCCTTGTTCAAAACAAGTCTCAAAACATATCTTTTTTATCGTGCTTTTTGTCATCTTTTTCCTACCCTCTCCCCCCAGCTCAGGTGCCCATCCAGCATTCTTAAGCGCTTTGAGATGTAATCCTGACGTGAAACTCAGCCATTGTCATTCAGAATTTTAACCTTTCATTTAAAAATCGATTGCTGAAAATAAAAAAGTGACTTACCGCCAGTAGCCACTGTGATCTCTTTCAGGAAATGGCCATAAAATGGAAAATCGAAGGACAAATTTACTCTCTGCATGAAGCAAGCAAATATGCTCGTCAATAAAGGAAATAGTTGTCAGCAACATTTAAAGTCAAATTGCTAAGCCTTCTCAATCATTTAATGACGATGAATTGTGATAGGAGCTAGTCACCTGCTGAAACATTCAGGAAATAACTTATTGAATAGATGTTTATTAAAGTAAAGAATAACAGAGAGAGAGAGAGAGAGAGAAATACTTGCAGTACAAAACACAGAACAACAGCCACAGAATAAGTAGCGCTCTGCGTAACTCAATGTAAGATCTTAGCATGTTTCATTATGTGTGCATTGATATATGGGTAATGAAGATGGATGGGGTTTAATCTGTCAGGAAAAGATTTACCCCTAAATCTGTGATCAAGCACTGGAAATTAAGCAGCTAAATTCATCAAATTACAGACTTGGTTTGTTTCATTGGAATTTGATTGAATATAATTTACCGCAGCTTGCCGGTGGGTGTTAGACAGAATGCCATGAATCTTCACTTTCTCTTTTTCCATCTGATCAATGTTCACCCATAGTTCCTTGGTCACTGGATCTGTAGGACCGTACGTTCTAGATGTGTAATAGTTGTGGTCTGTGTCATCCTGCAAATAGATGAAACATGTTTTTTTTAAGGCATGAGAAACCCATAGAGATAAAAAACACCTCTGGAAATCTGTTCTGACAACAGAAATGTGCTGGAAATGCACAGCAAATTATTAGCAAGTAGGAGAGAAAGATATGTTAACATTTCAGGGTCACAATTCTCCGCTCCACAGGGTTATGTTCAAATCCACAGGGGTCCACCTTACAGAGATAGTTCAACTCACACTTCACAAGAGAGGTACAGATGAAGAAGGCCCTTTTACCCATTTGATAAAAGGAAATTAGGACAAACATCTGAAAAGAAAAAAAACATATGGATGAGGGAAAGAGATAGTGGGATTAAATATATATTTCTTGTGGAGAGCCAGCAAGGCCCGATGGTCTGAATAGCCTTTTTCTGTGCTGAAAATTACATCCTTATGGTTCTATGATCCCATCCTTCCAGAATATCCACCTCACGGTTTCCTTCTTACAGCTCCAAGCTGTTTTGAGGACTGACTTCTGGGGTCAGGGAAGAGACAGCATATTCAAAAATAATTTGAAACCAAGGTTTATAGGATCACATGGGCTAATGGAATACTACATGTAACACTTAGGTGGCAGCCTGACTCAAGTTGGCAGAACACTCACTCCTGAAGGTTGTGGGTTCAAGTGCCATGTTGTGACTTTGAGCTCACAGGAAGTTTTTCCCTGTGTTCTGGCGTATCATTCCCTGAATAAAATTGTTCACTCATTTCTTGGCTATTTGTGGGACACTGCTGTGCACAACTTAGCCACCACGTTCGCCTCCCAAATCCACGGTCACTACTCTTTACAGTAAATCACGTGCAGCACTTTGGGACGTCTCATCATGTTGCTTTATTTGATATAGCGACATGAGGAGACGTTATATCAACTGCAAGAATTATTATTAATTCACTTGACTGTTTCATCACCACATGACATAGCAACTCCTATATATAAATTTAAAACAGTGCTTAACAAACCTCAGTACAATTTGCTTTACAACTGAATTTATAAAATCTGGAGAATATCTTAAAGTGAAATTTGTGAACTGTGCAGGGCCCTTTCAATTTAGCTTGAGCTGAACAGATCCATACCACACTTGTCATGAAATTGAGCCTAGAGATGGTTTGACTCATTCATGAATCATTACTCAGAACTTCAGCCCATTTTATAATAAATCTTCATGTTTCTGGGATTATTGAAATTGCAATATTTTAAAAAAAGATGAAATACTGTAGTATTGTAAATTAAATTAAAAAAGCTTCTTTTAGGGTTGAAATTACTTTTTTTTACATTAATCGTTCAATTGACCTAGACATTGTACAAAATTTCTCAGAGATACCTGACAGAATCAATCAGCAATTGAGGAGTGAGACTACACTGACAGAACATCCTAAATGCAGAGACTGATCTGTGTGAACCTGAAGAAGATTAAGTACAGAACCAAGCGCTTTCTACATTATCTCGGCAGAGTGCCATAAGGTTCTCCAAACTCAGAAAACACTCTTTACTGCCTCAGTGTGACATTTTCACTTTGAATAAGACGTTAAACCGAGGTCCCATCTCCCTGTTCAGGTGAACGTTAAAGATCCCATGATGGTACTCGAAAAGAGAAGGGAGTTTCTCTCAGGTATCCTGGCCAAAAAATCCCCCAAATAAAATTAGGTGTAAAGTGGGAGCGGAACCAAGTCTTTCCACTATTTAAGCATGGTATCCTGACTGAGTGGTGCTATATAAATGCATGTTGTTATCATCGCTGCTGCTTTTAAATCTTTACTCTAGGTTTACTTTTTATTTTGCAAAATTCCTTTATGAACTACACTACAGTTGCTTTCAAGCCAAGGCTGATCCTCCAATGCAATGTTAGGGAGCTGCACTATTAGAAGTGTCTTTCAGATGAGACATTAAAAGAAGGTCTCATCTGCCCATTTAGGTGGATGTTAAAGATCCCATGGCACTATACGAAAAGAGAAAGGAATTTCTCCTACTATTATGGTCAACAACCCACCCCAGATAAAATTGGCAACTCGCTTCATGGCTGTTTGTGGGACTTCTGTGTTCACCTGCAGAAACACAGTCCCTACACATTACTGTAAATCCTGTGAAGCATTTTGAGACCTTTCCTCAATGTGATAAAGCACTATATCAAACACAAGGATTATTATTATTGGAAGGATGGTGTCAATGCAATTATAGGTAAACAGGACTTCTCTGCATCAAGTGCATCTTTTCATATGGAATAAAATTTGTATGAAAGCAATGCCATTGGGAGACTTTATCAAAGCTCCTCCTTATCTCTTTACAAGCTATTTATTGGTGACTATGTTTGTATTATATAAATTATGCACATCGTTAATATTGAGAGGAACTAAAAATAATGCACATAAAAGCAAACACTACAGTCCAAGTAATGTTCACAATTTTGACTGGCAAATCGAAGTTTTCAGCTGATAATATTAAACATGAATGATTTGACTTAACTGACAACACAAAAATTAAGCCAATTTACACTGCAAGATGTGTTAAACACAAGACCACATCAAATCATTGCTTCTACACTACTAAGATGGATTGATTGCTTTATAAGTGACTTGTAAAAGGCACCTTGATCTACATTCAAAGCTTTAGTGTCCAACATTATGATAATCAAACACTCTAACTACAATCCATGAGTTAGCAAGAAGGAACTGGTATGAGTAATGTCAATTCATTAACTACATGTCTTATAGCCTTGCTGAACCCCAATGTGTGATGCTGCTTCAATAGCACGTTAGAACAAAGTTAGTCACTTTGTAATGCAGCTGTAATACTACAGTCAATTTAACAAAGGAAGAGTTTCAATTAGGACTTTCAAATACATCAGAACCTGTTTCCCTAAACTGAATCAACAGTTATCAGACTTACTTAGTGAGATCAAAGAAAAGTGTCTGTCAAAGATACTACTTTTTTTCACAGCTGGTCAGATAAGCATTCACTTTTCTGGTATTGCAGTACTTAAGGCAATGTCCTTGAAAAGGTATAGGAGGGCTTTATGTTTTGTAACTGTCAAGCTGTCAATTGATTAACATATGTAATGATATTTGGGTATATTAATCAGCTTTTGACAAGTTGGGAAAATGTGAATTAACTTGCCATTTCTGGATCCAATTACATACTGGAGTGATTAACAAAATAATTATTAGCATTCGTTGCCCCACCCCTCTTCCCTATTATTTAAAATGGATATTTACCCTATTAAGACTTTGAGCTTACTCATTTTGGGTGCTATCAAGCCCCCAGAATGAGTAAACTCAAAGCTTTAATAGGGTAAATGAACTGCTCTATACCGGACTGCGAATGAGTATATTTCAGCAGAACTCCATCACATTTGACAATACATCAAATGTTAAGCTTCTGTGGTGTGGCTAGATCAGTCTTCAAGAGGTTCCCATTGGATCGAAAGCTACAGCTAATGACACACAGGCTGAATCTGAATTTAAAGTCGGGCAGTGGAAGTGAGGAATGTTAAAGTGAAAAAATGCTCAGGAAAAGTAAGGTTAAAAATGAATGAATGCATATTCAAGTTAAATAAATTAAAAATAGAACAAAAATAGAATGGGAAAGATGAAAAAAAGGGCTATGGGTTGAGCAGGCCCAGAGTATCTATTTTTTATTTAAATTGTGCTTTAGTGTATGTTTTAATAATAATAATTTGCAGTTGATATATTTGACATGGTGCTTTATCTTCTAGATGTCTCAAAGCGCTTCACAGAATATACTGTAAAGTGAATTGACTTTAATCCAAAAAAAAAATTGGTCATTTTCAATCCACGACTGTCTGTGGGACATTGCTGTGCGCAATTGGCTGCCGCGTTCGCCCACAAATATACAGTCAATTCACTTTACAGTATATTCTGTGAAGCGCTTTGGGACGTCTAGAAGACATGAAAAGCGCCATATCAAATGCAAGGATTATTATTATTATTATTATTGACTGTGTTTTGTGGGCGAAACACAGCAGTTAATTATGCACAGCAGTGTCCCACAGACAGTTGTGAATTAAGTGACCAAATTATATTATTTTTTGAGAAGGGATTATTACTGACGGAAAAGCGATCTGCTAATCGACTAACAACTGGGTTCCTACTTACTGCTAAGTAAACAGCGATATGTGGAGTAAGGAAACTTGCCCAACATTTCACCCTGCCAGGAATCGAACCCAGATCCTCTCGTGTGTGAGGCGAATGCTCTAACCACTGAGCTACAAGATTTCACTGTAGTTTTGGTCATATAAGATTAATAATGCACAATGATATTGGAGTAGCTTTCTTACTGAAGTATTGGCCATTCCTTCGAAGTCACAGAATGTGAGCTTCAAATGTACAAAATAACTTGGTTGGCCCAGTGATGATCTTCCCCAGAGCTGTCAGAAATTTAAAGGGCTAAAATAAACTTATATTTGATATATTTCTTCACAATTAAAATATTTTGCCAAATGTTCTGAGCTCTGTGACGGTAAATTACACACTTCATTTTTTATATCCCACTTGAAAGTTTCATATTTTGCTTTTCCAGATCCTTCGCTTAATCCTGGATTCCTTTAATACATTTTAAAGATGCAGACACACAATGTCAACATGATCTGAAGATGCTCATTTCAGTGTGAAGTTAGCCTGATTTCAATCAGTGTTTGACTCCTGTCTTTGGGATATCCTCAGTTTTAACAGGACTCTCCAATTGAACCCACTGAGTGCTATTTACAATTGAGCCATAGATTTACGCCCCATTCTCCAAACTCTTGGATGTGATAGCTCTTAGATCTGGTAGATAAAGGCCTTATAGCTATCTGTGCTCTTCAGTGATTCCAGCCTCCAAGAAATAATAATAATAATTCTTGCATTTTATATAGCGCTTTTCACGTCTTCTAGACGTCTCAAAGCGCTTCACAGAATAGACTGTAAGGTGAATTGACTGTATATTTGTGGGCGAAACGTGGCTGCCATTGCGCACAGCA